AAAAGGGGGATGAGCCCCTGGCCTCCGAGGCCAATGAACTGAAAGCAGTTTTGTGGGCAAGTGACTAGTTGGTGTCGAGTTATCTCTCCGATGGAGGGGAGTATTGTTATGGTTGTTCAATAATTTGTTGTACCTACTACTCAAATATTCATTAAATGCCCGGCAGCGTATCTGAATGTGTGAAATGTGAATATTATTGTCAGATAAACGTCATCTCAGGACAGAGGGTCTTGTATTTCAACATTTAAGTTTGCAGATTAGACAAGAGAATATTAGATTTAAAACCTTAATAATAGATGACCTATTTAACACTTTATACGGCCTATTTACAGGCCTTCTTTCCAGCCAAGTTCGCCATAAATACCAACTACTTACAGGACATAAAGCACACCTTTGTGCGATTGTTGGAGTGCGAGTGCCAGGATGCCTGACCCCGAACAATTTATGGCTGCCACGATAGCAGGGGCAGGAGCACAGGAGCACAGGAGCAGGGGCAGCGGGGAGTGGCGAATGTAATTATCAACGGCATTAACACCTTTAATTACAGCCAACTGCAGCGTGGAATGTAGGCCAAAAAGGAGTACTCGAGGACCTCTAGGATGGTTGGGAGGGTGGTATATGCAAATCACTCCCACAACCCAGCATCGCAAATACACACACTCCCATTAGGGTCGCAGATCAGACAAAACAATAAGGAAGCGCCCGGGCCCCACATGGATATTAGAATAATGCCACAAGAGCCGTATCAAGGATATGCATGCAAATGCGGCAAGGAAGCTTGGAAAGCGAAGAAAAACCATTGGCAAATATGCTGAAAACTGGACACAGTTGGAGGGATTTTTGGTTCAACTAGGAACTACCTCCACACCTACTCCCACTCCCACTCCCACTCCCACAACCACACAAAGGTGACACAGTTGGGCGCTGATTTATGAGTCACATATATCTGCAATATATAGGGAACTAACAATTATATAGGTATACCTATATATACATGTATTATTGCACAAGAAAATATGATATAATATTACGAAAGTCAGCACACCTTTATAAGGAGGGTTTTTACCGTTAAGACTTTACCTTCCTACCTTAAAATAATGGAAAATTTCCTTTTAATATCTTATTTATTATCAAATTTTTGTTTGTTTTTTTTCTCTCTGTGTGATTATGCTGCGTGTGTTTTCCGCTTTTGGTGACTTTGCATATTCCTCTTGGGCGGAAATTTATTAGAAGAGGTCGAAAAACTGTAAAGTCATGTGCCGAAGGACGTGCAGGACACACTTGCACACCTCCTGTTGGCAACCTATCCGCCGCAGTGGCTCCCATTTCCCTCCAGCCTCCTGCCCCCTGCCACATGTATCTCGCCGCTCTTTGTATCTTCCTGCCACTCATGCATATGCAAATTGCAATGGCTGGCCATGTGACCCAGTTTGATTGTGGGCGTGTGGCCTCCGCCTCCTCCCCAGCCTAACCTCGGCCACCCATGACACCCACAATTCGTGCCTCGTTTTGTTTGCGTATTTTTCCCCATTTTGTCGCTGGAGCCTGCCGTTGTTTCCCATTGTCGATTGTTTTTGCCTGTTGATGTTTTTGCATGACAAACAAAAATTATAATTGCACTTGAAATTGGCACACAACACCACACAACATACACCACACACCCCACACCCACCATGTTATCTCACACGGGAATTGTGCGAAATCATCGGAGTGATTATTTCAGAGTTTCAGTTCCAGATGCGTAATCTATGTATAGAACTTGGGGAACCTTGAACTACATAGATTGGGGAAGACACTCCATCAAGGTCAGAGGGCTTGTGAATGATAACGATAAGATACCGAGGTGTTTTATTTGCTTGAATTTAAGGTATAACCCTTAAAAAGAAGATACTCATGCTTTATAAGGGTTAGGCGAGGTATTCTCTAGAAAAGTAATATCTTCTCCAGACCTAATGAAGTTATGCCCATAATTGTCAAATAAATTGAAACAGCTGTAAAATGGGCCAAGAATTCCATTTCACAGGACCTGGGGAGGACACGATGTCCTTTCAATTATTTTGTCCATGTCCAATTCTATAGACTCATTAACAGGACCCTGGCCTGCGCCACAAAATCTGGTGCGTACCCAACCTATGGATATTTATGCAGATGGTTCTTGGCGCTACGAAACCCGGGATGTATGTTTTTTTCAATACAGATTTTGATATTCGCATCTGGGCGTACACTACGTGTACGGAGTATCTTCCCTGGGATGTGTAGGTGTTTTTGTGTTGGGTTTTTGTAAAACATTTTATTTCCTTTTTTTTCCCTCCGACCGTATCACTTTGACAAACATGCAGATTATCCCGGAATTATTAATTATTGTATCTGCAAACACGAGCCCCGTCAGCTGTCCTGGCCGGGCCAACAAAAAAAGAGCATTTGGTTTTATGATTTTTTGGCAAACGCTGCCCTTTATTACTAATTGGTAAGATACGTGAGTCTTGAATGGTTTATGGTTTTATTTTTTTTAAAGAGTTTAAAAATCTTTCATATTCGTATGGACTTTTATGAGAAAGCCTTTATCAACAGAACAAACTTTTTGTTGCATATTTTTTAAGTTTTTAAAACTATTGTACTTCTGAGATACTTTTCATCGCTCGCACTTTCATCCGAAAGATAAATCTAAGCTTATAGGATTTGGGGATTCTTGGCCAAAATGTTTATTCCGTTTGCCGAGCAGATGATGATATTTTGTTATGAAATTTTAAGCCTCTGTATCTTTTGTCTTTTGCCATCTTTTGGGGGGAAAAGTATCTCAGCACATGCATCTTGTTGCGGCTTCTGTTTGGAAAGTTCTTTGAATGTGCGGTTGCTCCACCCCTCCCCTCGACCAATCACTTAATGCGCCTTTAATTTGCGCTGCCTTTCCGCCTTTTGGCCCACAACTGGCCGGGAATGAGCCGCTAATGTGTTTTGGTTGGACCCCAAGCTGGAAAAAGGCAAACATATCACTTGACGCGCCTAATGAGTTTGGGCGGGGGGAATTCAAAAGGGGGTGGTGGCAAGGGTGGAACAATTTCTCTCTCTGTAGATATTACCGCTAGCGACTTTGACTAAGTTGTGGCTCAAACATTTGTTGTTGTTGTTGCTGCTGTCGACAGGCAACAATTTATAAAGAATTTCCTTCTCGTTTTTGTATAAAACTTGCGGATGGGCCAACAGAAAGATATGCCCCTGCTCCCTGCCCCCGCCACCTTTGGGGAGCAGTTCCATCTCCTTTCAACGGCTGGCACAATGGAATTGCATTGAAAACAAACAGGCAGGAATGTTTATAAACAAAACATAGAAAGAATCCAGTGGGTGGGGTTGGTAGGCGGGTCTGGGGGCCAAAGTAGCGCAGAAGGTGAAAGTACAGAGTAAACAGTAACCGGAGGTGCGAAAAAAATGCGTAAACAAAAATTGCAGTGCAACAGAAGACCTGCAACTCTATAATGACACACCAGCAACATGTTGCTGGGATCTTTACATGTTGCTAGAGAGAAAGAGAGACCTTGTTGCAAGAGAGCGGATGCAGCATGGAGCCCATTTTCGAACTCGAAATTGAGAGAGTCTAGGGGAGAGAGTGTGTGTTGTGAAAAATAACATTGAATTTTCATGCCGGCTGCTGTATATGTTGTTGTTGTAATTTTACATGCAGCAGAAAAAGAAGAAGCACCAGCAACAGCAGCCGCAGCAAAAAAATGTAAACCTGGAAAATGCTGAAAAGCAATGCTTTCCCCCCCTCTTTCCCATTTCCCCACCCACCCAGACATTGACCTTGATCGTTCTGTGGGTTGTTGGTTGGGCTGCTGTTGTTATTTTTTTGTTGGCTTGATTGAAGCTACAAGTCACTATTTTTTGTATTTTTGTTGCAACTGCTGGTTAACAATAATATTGGCAATGAACTGAGATACTTGTAAGACTACTCAAGGCCTTAATCTTATATTTTAAATAATATTACCGACTAGCTAATACAGTTCTTAGTTCTAATCATAACTGGGTTAAATTCTAAAACTAGATTTTATAGACAAGTGCCTGTAATTGATATCTCAGACAGTAATTTTATTTCAGAAAACACTTGCGGGTTCTGTTTCCTGGAAAAAGGCATAAAAAATAGATAAACTTTCACACATGGCCTTTAAAATTTAAAAATGACTTCATTTATTTGCTGTTTTTTACTTTCTGATTAGTCATAATAATTAACATTAAGAAAAGCCTCTTAAAATAGGTTCAAAATGGGAACATTGCTATAAAAATTAACGCTTGTTTGTACAATTCGCATTAACTCGAATTAATTGCAATGTTAACATTCTTGGCCCCAAAGAATTTCTGCTTATACCGCCAGAATCTGAGCCAAAATCAACTCCGAGTAAGCAATATTTTTTAACGACTTTGAACATTTTTTAATGAATTTTTATTTTTGAAACTAGACGCTAGCAACATCAACAAACTCCCGAATCGAATCCCGATTAGAATGACACGAACGAACAAGTTCATTCGCTCTCGGTCGGGCCTTTCTCTCGGGGAACCCCCACCCACATACATACACTCTCTCTTGCCAGCTCTCTCGCAACCGGCAACCGATGTTGCTGCCGTACATGTTGCTGGTGTTGGTGCTGCTGCTGCCTGCTGCCTGGCTGGGCGACTCGAAATTATTTCAAAATTCAGTTTTCAACTCGCCGACGACGAAATCAGACGTGTCCGCTTCCGCGCTCTGTCTGACAAAATCGAGCAGAAAAAAAATTCTGAACGGAATACGAAACTTATATTTCAAGACTGAGGCGTACCGAGTGTGTGGATTACCAGAAAATATACAAGAAATAATTTTAATTAAATAACAAAACAAAAAAAAACCAATCATACCAATACGCGCCGTGCAAACATATAGTAAATGTTTTAAAAATAAATATAAAACAAATATTCAGTGTTCAGTGACGACAAATAAGTTTAAAAAAAAACATAAAGAGAAACACTTGAGACAAAGTTTTCTTCGGAGTGTATAAAAAAATAAAGAAAAGCGGGTAAGAAAAGCCGGAAAGCGACAAAAAATTGAAAACTTTTACCCATCGGATTACTAGGATTTTACGATATTTTCAAGTGTGAGCTTCTGTGGGCGCTTCTTAGGTCAGATCAACGGAATTTGGCTTTGATTAGGGAATTATCAGTCCAAGACTACTTCCCAAAAAAATAATATTATTAAAAATGTATGTTTTCTAATCTTTAGAGTGCGAACAAAACGGAAACTCCCAAAGGCCATAAAAAGCTATATTTATGAGAGGAAGTGGGGCTGGCTGGATTGGGAACTATTCAAATAAGCAAGTGAAGGATTATATCTGATTTCCAAACAATTCCATTTTTAGAGATAGAATTACTATCTCTCTGAGGGAGATATCTCTGGCTCTGTGGCAGAATGTAAACAATAATCTCCCCCTGGCGGCTTCTTCGGTTCTTCAAAGCCAAGAAAACCGACAAAAGACTGAAGACTGGCAGTAAGAACTTTAATTATAACCAAATACTAGTTGCGGCGACACCTTTGTTTGCCGGCCTTTGAAGAACAACACTCTCTTCTGTAAATTTGTTTAAATTATTAGCGAACGAGCAACAAGTGCACTAAGCGAAGTTCATTATTTTTTCCCTCCTCGATTCTCTACCAGTCGTGTAAATCCTTAAGTAAACAGCTCCACCAGCTCTTCCAGTAACCACCCCCGCCTGTCTTCAACACAACTCATAAATTCACGCAAAATAAAATTTATGTCTTAAACTGGGGGTTGGGGAGCATATATATATATGGATACATCTTGTTTCGGAGAGATCCAAGATCGCAAAGATCGCAATCGCGCGATAAGATCTGGTCTTAAATGAGTTGTTAAACGGGAATCGTGTCCGTCGTGGATATAAATAATAATAACAACTCTATCTGGATCTGGAGTGGCGTGGGTAGTACGAGGACTACAGCAAGTGAAAGAGTGAGAACCTTTTTGGGCATTTTACCTGTTTTTGGCCAACAAATTGAATTTTAATTCGGAATTGAGTTGTACACATGTTGGCCCTTTTTCCACAGGATTTCCGCTGTTAGGTTTTGGGCCTTTTTTTCGAATGAAATCCCTCAACTAATTAGTATTCCTACCGTGTTTAGTTGAAATTTATAAGCCAGTGGGGGTTTTTCTCCCTAGCTGAGCCATAAATTTTGAAGGCGATGTCTCCATCAAAGAGCTCCCAAGCTCATTGAATCGGGCAACTTATGGCATATGCCTAAGCTACTTACTAGTCCCATACCTGGACTCAGACCTCAAACGGCCTCAAAGAATCTTATGCAAATGGGTCTCTATATCTCTAGTAGTCTATATGGTATAGAAGTGGAAAGTGTAGCAGTGTAGGAAGAGGCGGCGGAATATTAAGCAGTAAGAAATTGTAAACACAAAGCAAAATATTTGTTATACGCTTGTAATTTTATCGCGTGAACAGAGCGAGGCGGAAAAGTCCTGGTGCCTAGGCCCAGGACCAAAAGCCTACGGGCTGGAGGGACTACGGGAGGCTGTTTTTCACGCTCTGCTGCCTGGAGGCCGTGGAAGAGAAGAACGAATAAAGAAGAAAAGAAAAAACTTTATCGCAGGACTCGCAGGACATGCCTCCTTCTCCTTCAGACTTAATGCTGAGTGACATTGATGTGACATGCCGTCATCTTTGCATCTCCCTCTGACTCGCCAGGACAACAACTCAACGCGTTAGTCCCTGCTTTTATTTTTAAAACTTTTCTTCACGCCTCGGGGCGTGGCAAGTTTGTTTGGTTAGTAGACCAAACACCTCAGGACCCTAGCTGGCCTACAAATAATAAATGATATGTAAACTAACTCAAAAGTAGCAGGGGCTAGAGCTGGGTAATTTGTGTTACTTGAAGATTAGCTAAGAAAGAGGTCTTTAATTTTGGAGAATACTCTACCGAGACCCATAAACTCAAGGCCTATATCTTTAACAGATTTTGCAACAATCACTTCCAAGGATAGTTACAACTGTCTGCCACATTTGTTCCACTTATCGAGCTCGGACAGTCCCCCGCCGGGCTATCAATACCCAAGCTATAATGTCTCAATATGTGAATAGAAAAAAAACTGAGAGTCTAGAGACAAATTTCCTACCTGAGTCTAGTTTTTTCAGACCCGTCTAGGCACCCATATCAATTTCCTCTATGCCCGACCCAAAACGAATTAAAATTACACATAGACTGGCGGTCGGTCGGTCGGTCGAGAAAGGTATACTATACAGAGAGGTATACCTAGTAACATCCTTGGAGAACATTTATCATTGTAGCTAATAAATGCCTTTCCCTTACCTGACCGACACGCACCCAATTCCAATTGAGTCATATAGCCATATATAGCAACCCCCGATAGTCCTGACTTTAGGGCCTTGTCCATCTAATTTTCCTTTTTTTTTTTAAACAATTCAATTATGGGGAGTGTATAAAGTATAGAGATTCCAGATTCCAGCCAGCTGTTCTTCTAGTACTTGAGCCGCAATTGTCTTTTTGTCAAGAGTACGAAATAAATCTTGAAAAGTGAAAGTAGATAGAGTGGAATTTCTCTCAACAAGAAGGGTTAGACCCTTTAATTGGTTGCCTTGAAGTGCCTGAGAAATCAACTGGGGGAGTCTCTAGATTCCAGGCAGCTTTAAGACAATTATCTAAGTGCTTTTTGGGGTGCCTGCCTTTGATTGCAGATCCATCCAAGGAGTTACCCACGCTAATTGCTCATCCTACCCCCAACCAAGTACCTGATTCGACGGTTAGGACTTTGATTTCCATTGCGAGCCTCTACTGGCCATGGCATTTCCGTTTTACGCTTCAGTTAAGCCCGGCTCCTTGAATAAAATCAAGGCAGAGGATGGCCCAGACTTAATCTCAAAACAAATCGATTTCTGTCTTTTTGGGTTTCCTCTCTGAGATCTTCTTGGGTCTTTTTCAACACGATTTATTTCATTATTCCTGGCCGTCTCTCTTTCTCTCTTTTATTTTTTGGGTTTGTCTCCTCAAGTTAATCACCCAGACGAGACAATTCAATCGATTTTTAAGCGAAAAACTAAAGCTTTAAGTTGGAAACCCAAACCCAGTCTTTACTTTTATTTTCTTTCTTTTTTTTTGGATTTCTTTTGTTATTTATTAGTTTGGTCTGCTCTGGACTTTCAATTCAATTCAATTTTCTTTACAACATTTCATCTTTGACATGTTTTGTGTGTCCGTCTGACTGTCCGTCTGTCCGTCGGTCTGTCCGTCTGTTTGTCATTGTGTTTTATATCCAAGACTCCCGCTTCCTTCTTGAGGCCTTCGTTGTGTCGTCTTCGTTTTTAATATCTTTTAATCTCCAATGTCAACAGCGGCTTACATTTGATTGCAAGACAGCACACACAACCAGAGAGATCCACAACCACATCCACTTCGATTGTGTATATTTTTTTGTGAGAGATCTTATCAGACTGCAGAGACTCCTCTCGAGAACTGTCAGCTAATTAAACGAAGCCAACTGGCAACATGTGTTGGACCAAGCCAGAGTCTCCAACCTTGGACTTGGAGGACTACCCCACATTCTCACAACAAGCCAGATGTGGAGAAACAGCTACCAAGTGTTCAAGTTTAGATCTGAAATCTACCTACCTACTGGGAGTCACAGGATCATCAATCACCAATCCTAACTCAATTGAACCCCGAATACCGAATAGGTCGTCTCACCAAGTCAACCGTTTTTTCTCAATTATTTTGTCAGCATATGTGTGAAGAAAAAACACAACCGCAACCAAAAAAAGGGATAATAATAATAAAAGCAATGGAAATAGAAAGCAAGGACGATTCAGAGGGTGCAGGCCATCAGGGTAAGGGATAAAAATAGACAGGGGATAGGACAGGAGAGGCTCCTGGCTGGCAAAGTAAATAAAAATAAATCGCAAAAAATGGAAACGCATTAAAAAAAATCAATAAAAATTAACATCCAGCTTAGGGGAGGTGTTTTTGGGTGGATATCCAAGCGTGTGTGCCGATAAATGGCCAGGATGAGGCTAATTGCAAATAGGGATACACCCTGGAATTGTTACGTGCCCCGACATCCATGTGTGAGATAATTAGCCCACAGAAAGGACCCAAGGACACACGCTGAGCACTGTCACTGTCATGTATCTAACGAATGTCCTTTATTCTTTTTATTTCAGCAGCTCCAGCAGGCCGCCGATGAAGGCTGTCCAGATGACAGCGATCAGGCAGCGAATTTGACACGCAGCCCAACTTCAAACCGACACCGAATCTTGAAAAGATAATCCCCCATCACCCAAAGATCGAGGCGATACTTCCCCCGATAATCACCAGAACACCAGAACTCAATGTGGAAAATGCTGGATACTATGATGGACCTCTCCGATGCCGAGCTCTTCATGTTCGACTGCGACGACTGCTCGGGCATGCCTTTGGCCCCGCCACCCCAGTTCCTCATCCCGCCACCGCCCCGACCGCCGGCCCTGGCCGAGTACACGGTGGTGCCGCAGGACTGCAACGAGGAGCAAATGGCGCAGCAACAGTGGGACAGCGACGTCTGCCAGGCCATGCCGGTAAGTGTTGGACTACCCATCTCTTTAAAATCACAAATCCCCGGTCGCTCTAAAGGCTGATTATAATTTCGAGGGCGTTGCATGCACCCAGGGGTGGTCCTGGTGGTGCAACAACCCTCTCGGGTGGGCCACGTAATGAGGCCTGCATTTTGGCACAGCTGTTGGCATTTTCTCCAAACGAGTTGCAAGTGGTTTGGCTTTCCTGATTTTTCTACGCACTTGAAAGGTGTCAGAAATCCATGTTGCCTTATTGAATTATGTCCTATATGCATATTACAATAACAAAGAGGCTCAAGTGGTGGGTTGTAGCAAGCGGAGGGCGTGGCACGTTGCAAGAGCGTTGATTACATGTCACAAATGTTAACAGTTGAGTGGCCGCGAATTGATTTATTGGCAGGTCGACACAATTGCGGCACATGATGGAAAATCTGTTCGATTTAAGTTCCAAATTAAATTCCAAAAAAGAGAAATCATCAAGCTTTAAAGGACACACATTGTGGCACACAATTTGTGGCAAGAAATCACTTTAAAAATTGAAACAAATTTTGTTTTCCTTTCAAGTCCTTTGGCCTTCTCAGTTGCCGCAGTAACAGCTGTTGCTCCTTCGACTGTTTCTGCCCCGAGATTTCAATGACGATGATGATGATGATGACCATCCCCACCCTCCTGGACAGTCACAGAAATTACAATAACAATGAAAAGTTAAGCGGCAGCCACACAAAAAGGACAACAACTGTAGTGCCAACAAAAAGCATTTTTCGGCCCGGCAACATATGGCCCGAAATCAACCCTCAACTTTAAAAGGTTGTCAGCGGTTACAAACCAAAAAAAAAAAAAAAATAGAAGAAAAAATGGCAGAACCAAGAATCCAACAAAAAAATAGAATATAATTTTTTTGAAGAGAAATAGAAAATAGAAACAGAAAGATAGATAATTTTCCATGTGGAAAAACTGTAACTGGGCCCTCGTCTAATCTGGGGCAAGTGTTTGTTTAGGCTGGGGTGGCAGCGAATAGGAGGGGAGTGGGGGAGGGGACTCTGGGGTAAAACAAAGATCAAATTCCACATATCAACACCGCAGCCACGCACGCGGTCATTGCTACAAAAAATATTTCACGTGCCCCACACAAAAAAAAAAAGATACTCCAACTCCACCTCCATTTCAGAGTCGAGAGTCCAAGTGTTTTCCACTTAATTTTCAACATGAAAAATTTAAATAAATATGGGGGGGAGAGTGAGGGGAAAATGTATCTATATAAACCGGATCTGTGTGTGGTCCCCTCATATCATCTCTCAACTCGGAGCATTATGTGTGTGGGCACTTGAGACTGTCGCTCCCTTGATTTATGCTGACAAATCAAATGTTAATGTTAACATGCAGTTTATGTCACAAACTGTATCTCACGATGCTCCACCAACCAGATACTAGATACTATAGTATCTATAGGTATTACCAAAAAAATATAAACCAGGTAAACACATTAAAATCTCAACGAAATCAGCTTAAAATCAATTCGAGTTTGAGAATCAATTTAATGGATTAGCGTCGAGGACACACATGGCATGTCCTGGCAAGGAAAGCTCTCTCAGATTGATAAGTTTAACGGGAATTGTGCCAATTTGGGGTGTGTGTGGGTGTAATTGTCAACTGCCAACAGGGAGATGGGATGGAAAAATGGGGGAAAAGCCAAGGAAAAACCTTTAAAAAGGCAAACGGAAGTGGCATCCTTGCCAGACAAGCGAAATTAAATTTCGAAGCGAGAGTCTGCGTGTGTGTGTGAGTGCGTGGAGGAAAAATACTTGACAAGCAGCTTCTGATTTGCTCCAATGGGCGTGGCAGCAAATAATCCTTTTTCCAGCATTCGCTTCCTGGTTTCCTTGGGAAATATTTCAACTTTTCCTTCAAGTCTAGCGACTGTTCAAGATGATCAACCGAGGAGGAGAGGAGTGGAGGAGGAGTGTTCGGGTGGGTTGCAAAATCCAGACTTGGGTGTGTAGCAAATAGCATGACATTGATATCAAATGTCGTGAGAATGCGAAATTCCTTAGCTACTTGCCATCCTTCAGCGTAGGATATATATAGTATAGGATATATATGTATATGTAGTCTGCTTTTGGGCAACTCTTGGCTTTTTGGTTTTTCAAGGAAAAGAAGGAGAGAGTGTTGGGTGGGGTGGTGTTGGCATAGAATGACAATGTTGTTGCTTTTGTTGTTAATGTTTAGTGTTGATGTTGTTTACAGTTGACATAGCCAGACACAGCTGCAGACAGTGGCAGAAGTATCCGAGAGATACTTTTCGGGGCCGACCTTTGAGGAATGTCTGGGCGAATTTTCATATGTGGGAATATATTTAAAAAACATAACTTAAAGTTTAAAGTAAATAATAGAGACTTTCTCATTGCAATTTTCCTTACCCTCACTACCTGCCCCAACTTAGACCCTCTCAGCTCCAACTAGTTTCCCAACTCATTACAGCTTCGGAACCTCTTAAGGGGAATGGGTCTCAATCACGGGCTGTTTCCAAACAATTGCACCGCCAAGTGGTTACAAAACGGGCCAGAAGAGGCATATATAGTATATATATACTATATAGATTCAGGAGTTGGGTCGATTGTCGATATGCACGTGCTGTAGAATCAAAGTTGCGGATTGTGGTGGCAGGGTGGTGTTGAAAAAAGGCGCCATGCCACACATGCATCGCATGTTCGAAAAACTTTCGCCATGTTATCAAAGCAGGCAACTATTGTTGTTGTTGTTATGGCTGCTGCAAGTGGCACGTGCTTGTTGCAAGTTCCATCCTCCTTTACCATCCTTTTATTCTCCGACAAAACTTTTGTGTTTTTCTCATCAGGCACGAAAATGAAAATGCGCGCTTGACTTTGCGAGAGAAAAGTTGTTAACTTTAAAGTTTTTCCAGTGCGGCGGTGAGAACTTTTTCCAAATGGCCTCCCCCTTCCTTAATAGAAGAGGTGCGAGGGTTTTGACGACTGATTTTGACGACTTGCCAAACGGTCGATCCCCCCATTCCCATCCTCACAAAACTTCATTCTACAATGTTGCCACCACCCACTCGTTTAGAGTTTTTTTTTATGCACTTTGGCAACACTTAAAAATTGGGTCAAAGGCAAACATTTCACTTTATGGCCTACTCAAGCTGCCTGGCTGGCTTCCTGCCTCCTGCCTCCTTGCCTCCTTTCGTCCTTGCGTCCTTGGTGATTTTTCATGATTAAAAAGTTGCCACAAAGCTGAAAAAATACGCATATACAAACACACGGTCACACTCGCACATTACCATAAAAATAAACAGCATTTTGCAGCACTGGCTGCGTTAATCTCACTTTGCCTTATTCCTGCTTTTTATTATTGTTTTTTTTTGTTTTTTGGGTAGAGTAGGGTGTAAACTTTATGCCATAATTTTACTCTCTGCCGGCTAATGGCTTTTGTTGTCTGCTACTTGAAGGAGGGCTTAATTATTTTATCGGCCAAGTTCCTATGTATTCCAAAACATAAATCGTTCAAAACTGCGTTTCTTATCTTTTCCAACTCTTGTGTTTGTATTTGTCTACTCCTTTTTTTTCTGTACTCCCCACCCCCTGCCGGTACTTTATTTAATTTAATTTATGGAATGCCCCGAAGCGACTACCGGAGGGCCCTAGGATGGAAAGCCTTCAATCATACCGGTGGCACTGCTTATCTGGGCAAATAGTAGAGTTGGCCCGACCCGGCCTGGTATCGATAATGCGGCTATGTTTGCTTTCAGCGTTTCAGTACCCCTGTATAGTAGTACTTTTGTTTTGTTATCTTACGGGTTAATCCGTGAGGCAGCTGGAGGCAGCGGTTTCGGTGGCAATCGACAACTGTCGCAATGTGTAAAGTTATTACCCAGCCTCATACCCATACCCATTCATTTATTTGACTGGCCCCAAAAAATGAGCATTACAAACATAGGTAAACGCGTGTATTTGGGATTTATCGATTATCAACGCACCAGTACAAGCTCCAAGCTCCTCTCACACACAATGCAGTTCAAAGTTGACTGGAAAATGCTGCCAGGGCGGGACAAAAGAAAATTGTTTCGGTTTCCAAGAAAAGGGGGGGAAAAAAAATTGAATGACGCAAGTGGGATTTCTACAAAATCAATAGGGAGTGCCAGTAGCTATAGTCGCGATGAAAATTATTTAATAAAATGTATTCCATTTAAGACAAAAATAATACAATTTTTGAGAGCCCCCCCCTAGCCATTCCCCTAAAGACCAATGCTCCAAAATCGAAAGAAAAGACTGGCGGCAGGTCTCATTAATCAACTTGATTACGATTGTGGTCCCCTTTCCCGATCTTCAGCCGCACATAATTGTTTAATTTATTATTATTTGTATTGAGTTTGGGGCCCTGCGATTTGTCTTTTGGAATGGGTTTCAAAATATACACATTTCCTAATTTTTGTGTGTTTGTGTGATAAGCATTCCAAATGCGAGCAGCTTTCGATTTTCCGAGATTTTTAAACAATTTCGCCATCCAGATGGATGTCAGTATTTTTATGGCTTATCTCGGGGGCCAGAGAACACTCCTCCTCATCCCTTTTAGTTTCGATTTGTTTATAGTGCACTCTCTCCATCTCTCTCAATGAAATATTAATAATATTTACATGGCAGTGCCAGTGCCAGTGCATGATTAATTACCCAGAATGATAAGCGTTGAGATTGCTTTTTGTGAGAGCTGCTGCTTCCGCAAAACTGGGCCGTTTATATTTGTATTTGATGTGGGCAAATAAATCAAAATTGAAAAGTTGGGAAAAGTGCATTTAATAAATTAGTAATATGCATTATAAATTAAAGTGTAACCTACATACATACATACATACACTGGAGGAAAACAAAGAGAGAGCCAATCGATGCATACACACAGTCGCCGACGAAATTATTTGCACAGCTGTCAAAGTTTTGACCCCAATTCGAGTGTTTGGCCAAGCTGCCAGCCTTGTCTTTGTCTCTTTCGCACTCTTTATGCCCCGTCTCTTTCAAAATATTTTCCATGTTTTTGAGTGATTTATGCTGCGTAAACCGGGATGCTTTTTGAGCCAAAACGACAGATGCATTTGCGTTCAAGTTCGACTCCCAAAAAATAAACAAAAAATATCTATACACCTTCTAATGTAAAATATTTCGGAAAGTCGGTTTATCTCTCTTTCTGACAGGTGACAGGTGCGAGGCGGAGCGAAGATAAGCAAGATGTCAGTCTTTTGAAACAGAATTTATTCAGAAATAGACAAGGTTTTATCAAAAAAATCATTTCAAATCAAGTTTTGTGGGTATATCTCTTTGAATTCCCCCCCATATTTCCGCGCAAGTTCATTATTTTTGCATGTCCAAGCATAAATCCAAAAGCAAATTGCCAGCTGACCTTAATTTCCCGGGTCTACCAAGCCCAATCCCTGGTCCAATCCCAATCCCAATCCCCCAAAACTCTCTCGAGGAAAACGCCAAGTAACCGAAAGGTTAACAGCCCAAGTCGCGTGCGCTGCGCTTTTGTTTGCATTTCGTTAGGCATATTTACCAAAATATTTTCCTCTTTCCATTGGGTTTTTCTTTTTCTTGGCTGGTTTTGGTGCGTTGGCTTTTGTTTATATGCAAAATGGCTTTGTGTTTGAGTTGAGCCCCGACCAGACCAGGCATTAACTTTTACTTTTCCTTCCCCCCCGACTAATGCCTTCCATTTCTATATCTTTACAGATCTTGGATGCCAGCTTGTACAGCAGCCAGTCCCTGGCCACCTCAGCCATGATAGCCGTGTTCTCGCTGCTCTTGGTCTTGATTGTTCTATTCTCGTCGCTATTCGTTTGGAAGTAAGTATAGTGCCAAGATGCCGCAATGACTCAATTACCTAGACCAGGCCTTTAGAGGCCCACACACACACACTACACTTAGTATATAGTATCGCGTTGTGTGGCTTTTATCGCGGCCAGTCCCCTTCTGGGCAACTATTTTTTTCCCCGATTTCTTTCCTGCCACGGCGCAACTTTAAAAGAGGCGTTAACCAGTGCCTGCAACATGTTGCATGTTGGTCTTTTGCCTTCATGATTTATGTGGCTCCGACCGCAGAAGACGAACGAAAAGTTTCCAGGGGAAGATGGTTGAGATAAAGAGGCGGAGTGTCTTTAATCTTAAGTTTTAATATAATCAAGAGTTTAAGAGCTAATCAACTCTCTAGAAGCTTAAAATATAATAAATTCAGTACCAACACTTGCAAATTATGCAGGCGGTTCTGACCAAAAAGTGTTGGGCCGCATAAATGTTCGCGCCACCTGAAAAAAAAATGCCAGCAATGCATAAACATTATAAAACTATATCAAAAATGTATGTAAACATGGAAAAAACGTGGAAAATGAACCCGGGGAAATAAAAACCCATTTGCCAGAGTTGTCGAAAGCGCGCACCAGCCAAACGAAAATTAATGTAGTCTACTTTTGAGCGGGACCACACTGACCTACATGGCATTGCAGTTTGCAGGAGTATGGGTGTTAGTCCTGGCTTGTGTATGCGGGTGCACTTAAAACCGAAACTAAATTAAATTGAAATTTTAAATAAATGTTGCTGCAGCAGCCATATAGAAGAAAAAAAGCACGTGAGAAATGGTAGAAGCAAACACACACCCCCTCACACACAAATCAACTTTTAGTTAGTGGGTGGGTGGAAAAAAAAAACATACAGCAGTAAAGATATAAAACAATTTACTTTTACGGTCTCCACGAAAAAAAAAAATAATACATCCTCACAACCGAAAATAAGAAAAAAACGATGTCAGATTGCAAACGAAATGAAATCTGCTGCAGAAATAAACCACAAAAGAGGGGCAGGCAGCATCCGAGGCAGGAAAAAAATAGGGAAAATGAAAAACAAGCCCTGGACATTGTTTGCATGTAATGCAGTGTGCCAACAGAGCCAGAAAAGCTGCAAAAGATTTTTACAAGCGAGGGTATACGAGATGTGCCATGTATATGATGGAGATCCAGAGAGCTAGATAACGGCTTGGGGCAAGGTTAAAGCTTTACGCCGGGATCCACACATTTTTTGGACGGCTTTAATGGGTTACACAGTTGCGTTGAATGTGAAATTTAAGGACCATGGACCTTCCCTCCACGGGCAGCCAAGGGCCCCTCATTAACATCAACAAGTGTTGGGGCACCAAAGACCCAGAGCTACCAGAGCTCCCAGAGACCCAAAATCGATTTTCCTTTCAACGGCGATACACAAAACTTGGCCGGAAATATTCATGGGTCTAGGCGGGGAGTAGGTGGAGGAGGAGGCATCAGATGCTACAAGCGATTTTCATACATATTCATTAAAGTTTGCTGACCGCACGCACGGCTAGAGTGTTGTTTTTGTTATTGTTGTGCTTCATCATTTTTGAGGTTATGGCGATGGGGCAACAAACAAAGGCAAAAAGAAAACAGGACGAACAGGACAAACGGGCATCTTTATTACATAGTTATCTATGCATGTGATTGTGTGTGTGTGGCAAGAAGGATCTACTTTAAGTGTCTGACCCCTGAAGCCCTACTATCTGTGTCTGTATGTGTGTGTGCGTGCCATTTTTGTGGCATTTATGATGTGGCACATTACTTTTGCTTTTATGTATTTGCTGTTGCGTGTCCTGGCACACACACAACTATGAGAATCCATAAATAAAATAGCAACTAATTTTATTTATATATCTGTTCGAGCCTCGAATCAAATCAAATAATCATAATGCCGCCTCGAGAAATACCAGTGACGAATGCCCTTCTATGGTAGATGCCTTTGTGGCTTTAAAATTTTTACAAAAATATTTTCATTAAAAGAACCTCACCGATTATCATTTAAAATTCAAACCATAAATTGCATTTATTATGATGCCCTAGGCCGGCGCGGTATTTTTCTTCTCCCATCCGCTGCAGCCCCTCAGTTTCCGCTGGTAATTACCTTAATTATTTTAATAAACCACCAGAGTGTTTTCAGCACGCTTTTACAGCAAATGTTTGCATATTGGAACTTTATTAATTACACGAATTGCGAGTGCCATTCCGCAAAAAAAAGCCCAAATGCAACATGTGTTGCATGTGTGGCTTGAAAATGATGCGAAAAAAATCTGAAGAGCTTGTTATTAAAATTGTTAACATTGTCCCTCAGTTAATAATATTTCAATAAATGTTCATGCCGAATGGCAGGCTTTCTTCATTCATATTAAATGAGGAGGGAGCCTCCTTGGCAACCCCGAAAAGAAGTTATGACGGCATTAACATTGTTGACTCTTAAATAAATAAAATCAATTTCACCTGACGGCTGGGCTGTCTGGGGCCATGGTGTGTCAAGTACGCCATAACAATCACAATCTAACCTTATTAGAGTCCCCTCCTGTTGCCTTGGCAATTTTGTTTTCGTTTTTAATCAAATGTAACCCTCGGATTTCGGAGCTTACGAGCCAAGTAAGTGACTCATGCCTCCTGATACCAGCTGTTCCTTCTTCTTTTCCTGGTAACTCGATGCCATGGCTTGCGGCTTTGGCTTTGCGGTCGGCCTGGCTTTGTTTCTAACCGACTGACCGGTCAACTGCAGTGAAATTATGCAATGGTCATATCCCAGGGAGGAGAGCGAGTACGAGGCGGTGGATCACTGACCACCAAGGTGGCGGCGGTGGCGGCGGTAGTTTTGTGGCCTAAGCCACCTAAGGCAGACAGTCAACTGGCATTTACTTTGAAGCTTAAACGTAATTAATGCCTGGGAAGCGCGGTTAAGAAAAATGTTAGAAGCTTAGAGAACTAGATGTGTTTCTAGCTGATTGAAGTCAGTATTCTTTTTCCAATCAATTGCATTTCAGTTCTTAAAGTTTCTTTATCTAGATTCTAGATGCCACCCCCTCCTTCTATCTAATTTCCATATCAAAGTCCTGGCACACACCTTCCTTGGGAATATGTCTGAAGCTTCTATCCATTCTTTGGCTCTATTTGCTTTTGTGCCCTTTGTAGTTTTTACTTTTTTACGTGCCGGGCTTTGGGCTTGCAACCCCCAACAGTGCTAGAGAGTATGGGAGTCCTGCAAGTTTAGTTCAGAGTTCATAAATAAAAGATTCCCCCCAACACACTCGCAGCAACATTGTTGCCCCTTTTGGTTGCCAGATACTTTTTATTGTAAATTGCTTATGCCAAAAGGAAATGGCCGTGTCTGTTACTGTTGCTGTTGCCTGCCCCCCAAAGGTATTTCGCATTCGGCTTAAGCTTCAACTTCAACCCCTGGCTGGCATGCATACGTACTACATGGGGCATACAAATGGTTTACTTTCTTGCCAAATTGTACGACACTCTGGGGGATGCCGTGGTGGCTCTTTATGGCCAGTTGGCCATAACGCTTTGAAATCAAACAACAAGCCTCTCAAAGGGTTAGCTATCCTCCCACTTTGGATTCTTGATTTCGTTTTTACGCCTTGTAAGTGAAATGAAATGAAGCACACGCTCAGCTCTACGCTCTCAGTTCAAAGTCAAGGCTTGGCTTGTGGCATGCCGCATTATTTAATTTACTTTTAAGAATATATTTTACAAGGAAGACAGCTCTGAGCCACCCTCTCGCAGCTTCCGGAAATCTTAAGGGGACCAAGGAATACCTTAACATCCTTAGACCTACCAAGATTTAAGAATTAGGCTTCTGAATCGTATCTTAGATCAATCGCAAGTCGTATATTTGTTTAAATTTTTCGAGTCTAGGCCTCGAGGCAGGCATTTTTAATGTCCTTCCGCTTCCTCAAGCGACAGTTAGCCCTCCTCTCCACCTTGTACCTACATATGTGTATATTTGCTGAGAGTTTTTACGAGCGACTTCCGTTCTGAGGCATCGCAACATGTTTACCTACAAGACATTACAAGGATGTTGGGCTGCTGCTCATCCATCCGCCCGTTACGTGGCGTGCCGTGGCGTCAATTTAATTTCACATTTTTCATTATGCTTATGGTGGGTGGGTATGGGCTTCTGCCTCTCAAGGCTGTCTGCTTTCTTTGCCATGGGCAACACTTAATTATGTTCATTATTTTCATGGCACGCGGTTGTCGTTCCCTGGCTCCTTATTCCTCAGCTCATCATCATTCTGACATGGATGTCGCTTTGTGCTCATTTAAATTGAATTTTTGGTGTGCGAGGAGTTCCTGGCGGTGCTTTCTGGCATTCTTTATTAATCAAATTGTTTTGGGCAATTTCCCAAGGAGGCAGGAGACAGGATACAGGAGGCAGGAGGCGCAGTCTTGGCTTGTTTACCTGACATTTATCAAGGTTGCTGGCTCTCTGCTGGTCATTACAAATCGATTTATCTTCAGCTTGGCCAAGAGCAACTTATGGCTCTATTAGCCGGCAGAGGGGGGGTAGATGCTTGCTAAAGCCGAGCTACATCATCATCATCATTCTTCTTGTGGCACACTTTACTAATCTCCTCTTCCAACTTCTATTTTCTTGCAGAAACAAACGGAAGGTGCAGAACCTCCTGCCCTGCAAGACACCCACTCGCGGCCCCCTTAACGGAGCCATGCCCCTGGGCGGCGGCGGAACCCTGGGCTCGGCGCACCATCATCACCACCACCATGGGATGTACGAGGATCCCGATGCGCACTTGGGACACCACAGGCCGTTGGTGATGCACCGACATCATCAGTTGCCCCACCACCATCATCATCACTATCAGCAGCATCACTCCGAGGTTAGTATCTGCAAGATATCATATATCTTATATCCTATATCTTATATCCTTTTTTTTTAAATAAATTCCCACCCTCGAACTGACAAATATTACGACAATTGCTGTCAAAACATTGCACAGTCTCGGTTTCTGGTCCTGTTTTTGATCCTGTCACATCCAATACGATTGTAAGACGACACCACACTTCCTTCATTCAAGGCATTCAAGGATATCCCTTTCTGCATATTATTCATTTATGTCCATTGCCCTTTATGCCCATTGTATGCCTCAATTTACACTTGAACTTGACATGACATACATATTCATAAAAGGCGTGAGTGTATTTGTGGGGCATATCCTGCGAGTCTCGGGTCGGCTCGTCTCGGCTTAATTTCAACTCCTTTTGTATGCCTAAATATTTTACGACTCTGACGCCTTGAAGGCTTTTTTTTGCGAAACTCTGACCCGAAACGTGGTGCTCCCCGCGCTTTTATTTCCATTTTTTTTCATATTTTATGTTCGAGTTTTGTGCTTTTGGCGGGCCGGGAATCTCCCTATGCGCCAAAGAGTGTGTTTATTTTATTGTCTGATAAACAGGTCCTTTAGGGAAGCCTTTGGCCCACATTTCAATTTATGGTGACTTGCCTCCAGTTTAAAACACCCGATCGGTGGTTGAAAAAGTTGATATTGAGCTTTTACTTTTAATACCTTAACTGTTCGGTGTGCGATGTCCTTTTTCCTGGTTAGTCCTGCTTATTTATTATTCATTTCTCGTGGCATTTTTAAGTTCGTTTTTTGCATTTGTCAGCTCGGTTCTGTTTTAACAACTGCTTATGCTGCTCGACTGCCTTTCAAACTCTTCCTTCGTCCTCCGGCCTGACACATTTCAAAGTCCTGCCCGAGGGTATGTGGCTGTTAAGCGGCTTGCCGCCAAGAACAACCTTTTCCTCCTTCCTATTCCAAGTATTTCTGCAAAAATGTCCTTGCATTTTTGTCTCGACTCCCCTCAGAAAGTGAGAGTGAAGCCACCCCCTTAAGCACCTCCTTTGCATACCATTTCCTTAATTACAAATCACTAACTGTGCCACTTTCTCTTCTTGTTGTTACAGCTGCTCCAGGGCAAGAGCATCCACTACCCCAGCGGCTATCCCATGACGCGTTCGCCCCCGTTCTTGGTCAGCTCCTCGCCCGGACCCGATCCCTATCGGTCCAACGACAACGTCTACGAGGAACTGGGACCGGGACGCGTTGATTCCGATGGCGAGTCGGAGCCACCACTGCACTCCGACGATGATTTCGCCGAGGATGAACTGTCATTGCCAGGCGAGTGCAGTTTCCAGAAGGAGGCCACGAACATACCAGCGGCGGCAGGTGCCACACCCTACCACGAGCGGGTGGCAGGTGCAAGTGGCAGCAGCAATGCGGCGGCAGGAACCTCCAGTGGAGCAGGAGCCTCTGCCAGCCTGCAGCAGACTACCCAGGAGCGACACAGTGTCCTGAGCAGCGGTTCCTCGACGGGTCAGGATGCCTCCACGGCCACAGCCTCGTCGGCTAGCAACAACAACCACGAACTGGCCTCGGGGTCGGTGAGCAACCGACGCACTTCCCGCACCCGGCAACCCAGGGTCGCCCAGGATCCGGATCTCAACAACAGCAGCTCCACCGCGGACATCGCCGACCTGGCACCGCTCTACGACAACCGCAGCAATCTCATGTCCCTGGGCTACATGGCTCGCTCCACGGCTCCCCAATTCTACAACACCCTCGAGCACGAAGTGGAGCGAAGGAACCGGATCAACGCCCAGCTGAGCAAGGCTCCGGCTCCGCCACTGTCCACCATCTACAGGGAGAGGATACGGTATCCCGGCAGCTCGCAGCAGTATCCTACGAGTGCGGCCAGCGGCCTGATGGCGGCCACCATGAGGGCGAGAACCCAGCCACGGATGGTAGATCGTCGATTGGCGCCGCATCAGCACCAGCACCACCGCATCCATGCCGCTCCCCTGCCCCAGGAACCATCCTACGGCTACGCGGAACCCATGATGTATAATGCCAACTACTACTACGAAAGTGCCGGAGCTGCCCGCCCCTATGCCTCGACCGTACTGCCCACTGGCGGAGAGTACCGACACCCCTATGGTGACTCGAGCTTCGGCTCCGATTCGGGCTACAGCCACCACACGCCGGCCAGCTCCATTGGGCGACAGGACTACGATCTCGCCGAGCCCCAAATGCCACTCCAGACACAGCCCAAGGCCAGCAAGCTGAGTGCGGCCCTGAACTTTAGCTGGAACCGCGGCACCAGGGGCTCCAAGGGCACTCCTACCGGCGCCAGTGGTGCGGTGGCCAAGAACTCCACCCACAGCAGTGCCGGGGCCACCAGTCCCAACAACAACAGCCCCGCCTGCTCCACCGTCGCATCTCAGTTGGAAAACAACAATGCATCCGCCAACCTCTCACCGGCGTAGATACATCCTATATATCGAAATTAAATCTAAAGTAATATCCTTAGAGACTCCGTGTAAATAGGACCGTGTACAGTTAGTCATATCTAAGTGAACTAAATATCAAAAAAATATCCTGCGTGTACATCGTCAAAGCAATAGATATTTAACTACTCGATCCAAACTCGATCTAAACTCGATCCAGAGAGAGCCCAAAGTATCTTGATCTTGGATATATAGACTTATCAAAGAGGGTTGCCATACCAACAAGTTTTCGCTCTGTTTCAAAAGCAAAACTTGCCGCAAAGCAAAGAACTTATAGATCCTAAGTGTTTTTCCAATGTGATTGCCAAATTCTACAATATAAAGCTAAACTAAACTTAAAACTAGGTTCTCGAACTAATTTAAAGTGTATTATAGAGCGTATGTCTATAATTAAGGTTAAGTTAAATATTTTAATTCTGTTTGTTATTTTAGTTTTTAAGCAAAGATTAAAAGATGAAGAAATCGGATTCACAAATGAGTTGGCCAGAGTTGGTCATCAAAATATACCAAAATATCAAAAAACTACAAATTATTTGATTTTTTATTTAATTTTTTTAGTTAAATATATATTTTTTTATAGCATTCTTTTGGGCATTTTAAGAATTTCAGTTGCATTCACCCACCAATATTGTTGCATACTTTTAGGAAACGGAAATATGTTAAACCCTTAACAGAGCAATTCTAATAACAGAGCAGTTTGACAAGGACTTGGTAGTTTCCCTGAAAAAGTTTTACAAAAGTTCCAAAGAAAGAAAAATTTCAAATAAATTGAATGGAAATAAATTTCCGAATAAGATATGGCAGTTTCTGGCTTGTGGTCTCAACGCGTTCTGCTAAAAATCCAAGCAGTTATGTACTGTACTGTACCATGACACCGACGCACGACCTAGCAGGCCATATATTCTCCACAAATTAATAATTATGATTAGTTACTGTTGATTAATAGTTGACTAGATTATATATTTATTTATTTATTTAATTTATTTTAACAACCTAAATGCATTTTATGCCTTTTGAAATCGAAAGGCCCAATCAAGACTGTTTAAATATAAAACATATTTTACTTAATGGCGAAACAATAATAAACTGTATAAACTAAACTCTAGTTGGTAAAGCTTTGTAAACTAAAACTTGATGCGAAATCCAAGCAAAATGCGAAAAGAAAATCAGAAAAAAAACACCCATAGGTATATCGAGTGAACAATTTTAGCGGGTGCCCCCTTGTAATGAACCCCGCGACTAAAATGAGACACTTCCTAGGTTGTATCAGAATTGTAAATAGCAGGCGGGGGGGTCACCTCCCACTGCCCCCTAAGAAATATCCATTGATAGTCCCCCGTACTTCCCCCGAATTTGTGTGTGAGGAAGCGAAATGTTAAATTTTCTAATATGAGCACAATGCAATGTATCCTATAAACCGTAGTCTATACATACATAAGCATACATATAGTACATATATAGCATACGGATTTGGACTAGAGCCAGTCCCTAGACATCCCCTTCCAAAAGTAGAACCTTTAACGGATAACTAAATTAGCTTAGATTACTAATTCAGCCATCAGCCATATGATATGCAATAATTGCTTTAGATCAAGATTAAGTCGTTGTGATTTTTGGAAAAGCCCCCTATGAATATATAGATATGGTATGAAACAGACCCCGAAAACAAAATGCAGTAGCACAATCATCGAGCGAGTGACAACAAAAATTGATAGCAGCTTACAAGGACTAATCCTAAACATTAACTAGATATATGGTTCTCAACCTATGCTTTCGCTATTCTGTCCAATTACTATCTATTATTTTCGATCTTATTTTGAATCGTACATATCAGCGATCGTATTTATGTAATATAGCACACCTGGTTTCTAATACTATCAATATCAGTACAAAAACTATATTAATACCACAAACTTTTATCCTAAACTTCAATCCAACTCGATAAGAACTTTTTCTCCATCGCCAGTTGTACATACGGACAAGTCAATAAGAAATTTTCGCTGTAGTTCTTCCAAACGAAAAAAATCATAAAACTTAAAAACAAAATTATTAAATCGTAATTGTAAATTGTTAAAAAGGGTCTCTGGATACTTGTGTTACTTAAGCATCAAATTGAATTCAATTGAATTGTATGTAAATAGTTGTTTTCCTGTTAATTTACTGATAACTTTCGGATAGCATATCACGGCAATGACTCTTTGTAAGGATCTTTCGTATACCGACTAAATAGTTTTCTACAACTGCTTAGATTTTATATGTAGGGAGTGTGGAGAGATGATCTTTTCAATTGTGTGCAGCGATAGAGAGCAAAATAAAAAGCGATTTAATCGAATTTATAATGTTTAATGGCAGTTAATCGAAGTAAACAGATGTCCCAATGGGAAAAAATATGAATATCAATTAAATTAACAAAATGATTAACTAATTAATTACGCCCCAACAAATAGTTAGTTTATAAATTTTTTGTAAAACCAATTTAACAATTAGTTTCACCTTTTTCTATAAGCAGATATGGATAATAATTAAAAGAACGAGATGAAAAAACCCAAAACATAAATCAAATTATGAAATATGAAAGAAAAAGTGTTTTATTTGTTCTGCAAAGTGATTCGGGACGTGGAAAATAATTAAAACAGTCACCAAAAAGCAAACTTTCTTTTGGAAATGCAAAGACAGGATCCAAGCCTGTTCCTACTACTTTCTCCGCCCTCTTTCCCAGACATCAGGCCCTGCGAAGGCGTAAATCTGCAGCAAATTAAATATGCGCGCGTGTGGCCCGAAAGGAGGGAAAGTGTGGGCTGGGTTTGTTTTAGCGCTTGTGCATGCAGTTAATGTGCTTATTTTAAAATTTAAATTGGCTTGCGCAGTGCGCACTCTTGGGCAAGGACTCGGGCCAGGACTAAGAGTCGTGGGGGTGAACGCGTGTGGAGCGAAGGGAGAAAACACGCCTGCACGACTCAGTTTAATAGAAAGTTTGCATTGCACTTTCTTCCTGCCTTTCTCGTCCTTTTTCTTGGGGCTTTGCATACAGCTAGTGGTGTAATTAACAGTTACTTGCAGCATGTGAGTGGCAGTGTGCTAGGGATATGTGTGCATTAAGATAAACAACTTAATTATTTTACTCTGTCAATGGGCTGCACTTTTCCATGGGCTGCCAAGAGCACAGTGGCTTTTCACAAGCGACAGGGCTTTTCTAGGTAATTAAGTCTAGTACATCAGGGAAAGTGCTAGTTGAGTGTATATAGCTACTAGAGAGATGATAAATTCCTGTTTACCAACCATACTCTCGCTTTCATTTCCGAGTCTCTTTCTATTTTTACTTACTTCCTACACGTGCCAGCCATCCCACACAATAAGCTTGAATGGATCGCATAGATTATTTAATTGAATTCTGGGAAGGCCTCAAATGTCACCCAACTTGGGTTCAAGTTCACCTTCAAATCGTAGAGGAAACTGACCTAGACAACAAAAGTCAGCATCCAGATTTAAGAACATAAAAGATAAATCAAACATTAGAGCTTCATGGCCTTTTTGCGCCAATTAATCGCTTGAATAAATCAGGAATAAAACAAAGCCCATCAACTTTATTATTAGACTATTTATGCAATTTGCTCGGTGGCCTGGAAACGTTTTCACACCTCAACAGTATACTGGGTTAATCAAAAGTTTCGGTGTTCACTTTTAGCTCCTGAAACTCCTAAAGTCTCTGAACGAAATACCAAAAAGTTGTACTTCAGTTGTGCCTGTGTGCCGAGGACCGTTTTGTCATTCATTAACAATTTTCACACATGGGCCAATTAAATTATTTAGACTCACACTGCGAATAGTTTTAATTAAATAATAGATACTAGCTTGTGTCCTAGTTGAGGGTGTGGCACCTTTTCAGCAACTTCTGCACTCGGCTTTCCTGTTTTCTAGTTTTCTCTCATTTGCCAGTCAACTTTCGGCAGTTGGCAAACTTTTTCCATGGCGAAACGACTCCCGAGACAAAAGCCTATGAATGTGTGTCAACTGTACCAGAATGTTCGACACACGCACTCAAAAGACATTGTATATCCCATCCAATGGGTTGTTCGGGGCCTGGCTGAGCATTTAAAATTAATGTGCTTTTGAGGCGTTTTCGAGAGCTTACAGGACAAGTCGAAGACAAGTCGAGGACATGCAGCCGTTAGCATAATTACTAAGGCTTAGCACACCCACGCAATACTCGTTTCCAGTCTAAAGTTAAGAGCCTCATCACGTGGGGCCTCTTTCAGAAACTAGAGTTCTTTCTGAGAAGCTCCAGAAAAAGTGGGTCACCTTTTATTAACTTTTAGCATGGTTGGCATTGTTCTCCTCTATTGAGCAATGACCTGGAGTGGAAGTGCAGACCATTGGCCTAGGAACTATTTGCGAAACACTTCAGCTAGTGTATCAGGTATCAAATATGATAATGGTCTTATCACTAAACAGACTTACGATACAGTAGGCTGCAACAGTCATATTTTGTGTCCACGATGGCCTCAACTGATTGGCACTAGAATAACACGTCGAAAGGGAACTATAGTTCCCATATATCATTGGTCTTTAGGGCAACTTAGTGAAAAAGCACGTCGCAAAAACTAAAACTTTAACGCTGTGAATATATTAGCTTGTCTAGATATTAAATTTCAATATTGATTAGCTGGAAACTAAAGTAAGGGCACACTTTTATCGCAAACCAATTTCTATAATATGATGGATGAATCAGTATCGGAATCGGAGCACTATTCAAACAAAGCTTAGATTGTAACGTAAATTTATTCAATAACATTTTTTGTCATTAAATCATTTCCAGTCTGAAAAGTTGACGTAATACATTTTTTATTTTTATTTTCCTTAAAATATATTTCGTTTGGCAAATTGTTTGAGAATTCCTTCGAAAGTGAACTTATGCATTGAAGGACAGTATGACACACAACGATAGCCATAACTTTGTCAATTTACATCCGATTCTTAATCGGAATACCTTAAACGCTTTGTAGATCGATTCTCCATCAAGCTGCATAAAAATCTTGCGACAAAATATTTTTAAGATTTGTTGTCAAATTTTCTGGGGCTTCCGCTTTATTTTTCAAAAATGCATGGATGCACAATATGACCCGGAGCGGAGGCCATATCTTTGGCAATTTTAATCCGATTCTTGATGGGAATACCTGAAACGATTTGTAGATCGATTCTGCGCAAATCTGCATCAAAATCTAGAAACAAAATATTTTTTAAATTTTTTGTCCAATTTTCTGGGGGCCTCCCTTCAAAAATCCCAAAAATGCATGGATGCACAATATGACCCGGAGCGGAGGCCAGGTCTTTGGCAATTTTATTCCGATTCTTGATCGGAATACCTTAAACGATTTGTAAATCGATTCTGCACAAATCTGCATCAAAATCTAGAAACAAAATATTTTTTAAATTTTTTGTCCAATTTTCTGGG